ATATATACACACACACACATATATATATAATTTATTTTATTGATTTTAAGAGAGGAAGGGAGGAGAGAGAAATAGAAACATCAACAATGAGAAAGAATCTGGGATCAAGCCTGCAACCCGGGCATACGGCCTGACCGGAATCAAACCAAGACCTCCTGATTCATAGGTCAACGCTTAACCACTGAGCCAGGCTGTCCGGGCCACAGTTTGTACTTCTCAATCCCCTTCACCTTTTTCACCTATGCCCCCACCCTGCTAAACATTTTAATAAATAAAGAGTATTTATAACTAAATGTTAACTCAAAAGTACTTTACTTACTTTGCCTGACTGCAACCGTTGTATTCTTGAGTCACATACTTTCTTTACAAATAATAAGCTATTTATTTGATTTTTGATAGTGTTGATATCTAAAAACAAACAAATTGATTATGAACTAGAAAGTGATAGTTATATGTGAAATACTTTAAACATGCCCTTACTGTCATCCTACATAATAAAAGGCTAATATGCAAATAGACAGAATGGTGGAACAACAACAACCAGTTGCTATGACGCGCACTGACCACCTGGGGGCACGTGTGGAATATGGTGGGCACTGGCCGCAGCAGTATGGTGGAGCAGGTGAGCAGGGGTGCCAGACCAAGGTGGGGCGCCGGTCACTGTCATCGGGGCGAGCCTTTGGTGGTTACTGAAAATTCTTTGCTCCGACGAACCGCAGTCCCACCCGGCACTCACACCTGCTGCCAGCGCCAGACCCGTTTGTACCCACTGCTGGCCCCAATCGCTCTGCGCTGTCAGCAGGTGCAAGTGGGGCCAGCGCCATCAGCATGTGGGGGCAGCGGGAGTAGGGCCACGGCAGGAGGGACCGGGTGGGGGCGTGGAGGATGGGCCAAGACCCGCCTCTGTGCACACCCCATCTTCGTGGCCCACAGTTCCTTTCAAGGTGCACAAATTTGTGCACTGGGCTCCTAGTTTAATATAAAAGCCAGTGCATAGAAAAATTATTATATTTAATAATGAAATAACCTAAAATTATATAATGAAATTATTTAGTTAATATTAAACCTTACCAATTCTCTTTACTTTAGAGATAACTGCAATAAGTCTCACATTCAAAATTATAATACCTTATTCTTTGTTTTTTTGTTTTTGTGTTTTTTTTAATCCTCACCAGAGGATATTTTTTCCATTGATTTCTATAAAGATGGGAGGGAGGAGGGAAGTGAGAGAGACACATCGATTGGTTGCCTCCCACAACGCTCCTACCAGGGTTGGGGAACCTGCAACTGAGGTATGTGCCCTTTCCTGTGACTTTTGGGCCTGTGGGCTGACACTCTAACCACTGAGCAAATGGCCACAGCTATAATGTATTCTTAATACATGTTATAACACAATAAGCTAGATTTCAATTTAGTTAAGGCAAAAACAACTAATAGCATAAAATGACATTTAGGTAAATTCCAATTTTGTTTGAAGATACAGTAAACAATAAAGAAGTAAAACATTCTTTCACTTAAGTTACTTACCATCACCAGCTGTATCTAAAGATCGAAGATACTGTAATTCTTCTATTGCCTTATCTCTGACTGCTTCTAGCTCTCCAATATTGTCACTCAATTTAATAATGTTCATAAAGGCCTCATAGTTGCAATTAGACTCACGGATCTAAAAAATAAAGTTTAAAAAACAGATGGGAGGGGGACTCACTTATTAAGGGAAAACAGAATCTTGAGTGACTACCATGTGAAAGGCACAACTTGACATATTCCTAATGCTTATAACAAAACAAAATGAAATTCTCTGTACTCAGAGTACTTAAATTCTCATGGGTCACAAACTAAACTATGGAAATAAAATATACAATAGGCTAGAAAGTAGAAAAGCATGCTCAGAATGTTTGATGGATGATAACAAGGAAGCCATGACGGTTGAACTATATCAAAGAAAGGTAGAAGAGTAGACAAGAAGATCAGTGGTGATGAAGAGCAAACCAGTAGGTTACAATAAATGTTTTGACTGTCATTCTATGTGGAATGAAAGTTACTAGAGGATTTTAAACAGAAGAGTGGGATTCTCCAACCTAAATTTAACAGAATCACTATGATTATATGAACACTATTATTTTGTCTTTTTTTCCAGTCACTTGCTGTTTAAGAATAGAAATAGAGTAGATGGATGGTTAAGTTGAATTTAACCAGAGTGTCATTTCACCAAGCAAGGACAATGAGAGAGAGAGAAACGGTATATGAAGATGTGAAGGAACTAATCATTATGACTGCCAATTAAATTTAAACCAAGTAATGCAGTAAAGGGAGCTATGCGAAGGTAGCAGACTTAGGATATACCATCATCATTTTTAATGGCTGCATAGTATTCTATTGTATTAATATGCATAATTTATTAAACTAATCCTCTATGTGAGACACTTAAATTGCGTTCAGTTTTTTAGTATTATATGCAATGTTTGCATTAGTGGCCTTAAATGTTGTTGCAAATCTGCTTATCATCATTTTAGAATAAATTTCAGGAGTAGAATTCCTAACCAAGGGATATACATTTAAAAAATTTTTAATGACGTGGATTTGCATATTTTTAAAACTCTTGGTAGAGAACCTAGTAGGGATCTATCAAAGTTAACAAAAGAAAAGAATAATCAGGTTCTGTGGCCTCCATGAAAGGGTCTAACTTTAAAAAATACTGGTCATCTATCTATACACATGGGGAGTAAAACATCCTTTTTTAAATTTAAATAAGTAGTAACAACACTAAACTTGTCAAGATTATCTTATCTCTTAAAGAGAACTTGACTAACACATATAGCAAACAGAAATATTGAAAATATAAAGATTATCTCTAGATACATTTTTATTTAATAAATTGTTGCTTAATCATCCTAATCTCCAAGTACTATTTCTATATTTAAAAAAAATTGTTTTAAAGAGTTGTAATTTAGAAAGTACATACCATCCATATGATATATTGATTAATATAATCAGGATCACTGAGTTGATTTATTAATGGAAGAAGAATTCCTTGTGCAAGGATTTCCTGGGCAAAATTTTAAAAAACACAAACAAATTTAATCTAATACACTGTTCAAATCAATAGCATAATATAAATTCCCTAACAACCTGTTACTTAAGAAAAGTACAATACACGTAAAACTAAAACTTAATAACCACCATAAGCTAGATGAGCTAGTTTGCCACAGTTAAAATAAATAAATTAAATATACTGAGATGCAGCTACCTAGATCTATATGGATACATGTCCACAATGACACCTAGAGTTCAATGGAGAAAAGCAAAAATATAGCTCTAGTATGTAAGTATTTCTGTTAATTTTTAAATGGCAAAACACTGCAGTATAACTATTTATGGATTCCTACATCTATATTTAAAGAATAATAACAAAGAAGAAAAGGAAAAGATACACACCAATTTTAGGATAGTGATTATCTTCAAGGGAGGAACAGAGCAACTATAGTAAAATATTAACACTGGTTGACTCCGAGTAGTTGGTACATACATGTCTATTATATTATTCACTATACTAATGGAATGTGGGTTTGTATATTCTTCTATTTCTAAATTTCTTAGTTTTAATTTATAATATGGTAAATATTGATAGATAAAACCCACATAAAAAAAAAAAGCTCTTTGAGATCTTCAATAATTTTTAAGAAGAGTCACAGGGACCCGAGACCAAAACTTTTGGGAAGTACTACTCCAAGTTTCTTTATAGCCATTTATTTGGTATGAGTTTAAGCTTACCCTGACAAAGTATCGCATGGTCTTGTTCTGGAAATCTCCAGGAGGTAGCAATAAGTATAATAAGACCTCACACAAATCCCTTAGGAATCCTAGAAAAAAAAGGTAGCTATAATAACATTAGAAAATATGAAATCCCCATCTACTCTTGATATAAAACACATAAAGGTAGAAAAAATCAGTTTTCTGATTATACTGGCTTATTATTTTAGTAATTAGTACATATCAGTATTCATTAAAAACTTCTTCATTCTGCCCTAGCTGGTTTGGCTCAGTGGATAGAGCGTCAGCCTGAGGACTAAAGGGTGCCAGGTTCGATTCCAGTCAAGGGCATGCCTAGGTTGCGGGCTCGATCCCCAGTAGGGGGCATGCAGGAGGCAGCTGATCAATGATTCTCATCATTGATGTTTCTATCTCTCTCTCCCTCTTCCCTTCCTCTCTGAAATGAATAAAAATATAAAAAACAAACAAAAAACTTCTTCATTCTTCTCCAAATAGTAACTACCCAATCATCAAAATGGTATTTTTAAGTCTGCTGTTACATCCCACTCTTTGAATGACTGAAAAATTTCAATTACAAAAGTGCTCCCAAAACAACTTTTGTTGTACCATGTATTCTGTACTCTACCACACTAGTTATGTTTGCATACTTAAAAATTATTTGCACATTTAAAAATTACCTGTAATTATTCTTTCCAAAAAGAACTTCCACTATTTTGGCAGAAAAAAGAATATGCTCTTCTAATTTACATATTTGAGAGCTCGGTTTACATAAAAGTACTGCACATCACTATATCTATTTCTTACATTTAATTATTTCAGATCAGTGCTAATATAATGGTGATTAAAAACTGAATTGCACAATATATATAAAAAGAAAAGAAGAGGAAAGGAAAGCAAAGTAAAGACATAAAAATGTTAAGCATTATAAAAATAAAAGAAAACAATTTCCACAACTAGAAATGCTTTACTGTAGTTGTTACATACTGACACTTCACAGGAATATATTATACACCTGATACTATTAATAAAAAAATGTGCCAAGTAGAAAAGACTCTTAGTCATTGCAAATCTAGGGAAAATCACAACACCCTCAACTAAAGTTTATCTGATCTAACTTTCCAAAAAGAAGACAAGCTCGTTCTACCCTAAAAATTGTATTTAAAATTTTTATAAGCATTATCTTAGCAAATATTTTAGGGTACCAGATATATTCTTGAATTAGAAATAATAAATCAAGGTGAAGATAAAATTACTATCCATCAAAAAAGTAAATTTCAATTACAAAATGTTTATGCTTGTTATATTTTCCAAGAAGACAAGAGGGGTAATCTTTAATTACCATCTTTAACTTTTAAAGGTAACCTTCAAAACAGAAAAAAAAACTGGAAATTACTTTTAGGAATTAAAAAACAAAATAAAGTGAATAGTAACAGTATCTTCACTATGCTACCTGTCTTAAAAGAATAATTTCACCCTTATATTTGGTCACTGGTCCTACTAACTCATCTCTGATCAACTTGAACAGTTACTGTTCTCAAAAGTGTGAAATTGAAAACAAAACCTTCTTCATCTTTGGGAGAAGTGCACACTAGATCACGGCAAACGTCCTTCTCCATTTCAACTTCAACTTCAAAGAAGGTTTCTACAAGATCTTCTGCTGAACCTGCAGAAAGAAAAGAACAATTCAAGCTATACTGAATGATATAAACAAAACAGATTTTAAAATCATAATTTTCAGGAATAAAGATATTACCTGTTACTTGATCATCTTTTTCTGTTATCTTCTGTTGAGCCTTTCTAAATACTCGTAGGTGTGTGCCAAAATCATCTACAATGCGTGTTGTAAAATAAGGTTGCCAGTCTATTTCTTTTGACCTTATAAAAAACATATTACATAGAAGCATTACGGAAATGCTTTTTAATCAAGAAATATAAATTCATTTTAATGACTACTAAAAGACATCATTATCAGAGACTGAATTTATTTATACTGAGGTTTTGTTCATTTAATTACTATTACATATTAACAATATCTTTCATTCATAAGACCCAAGGTATATCAAATCTATTTGACTAAGACTTTAGGCATACTAAGCATTTTATGTGCCAAAGCTTAAAGATTATAATAGAAAAAAATGATATTTTTTCCAGTTAAATCTGAAGTGAATCTAACAGATAGATCATGCAAATTGTCATCCCAGACCTAAGAATACATTAGAAATTCAGAACTTTGCCTGATTTTGAAAGAGCGGACTAAGAGCTGTCAGAGGGGAGGGGATTTAGGGGAAGTGAAAATAGGCAAAAGGGGGATAAATAGGGATAGAAAGAGACTTGACTTTGGGTGGTGAGCATACAATGCAGTATGCAGATGATATTTTATTGAGATGTATACCTGAAACTTGTATGGTTTTATTAACCAACTAGAGGCCCAGTGCACGAAATGTGTGCATGGGTGGGGTCCCTAGCAGCTGCCAGCTGTGGGCCGGGTCCTCCCTTCCCCAGCTGTGGGCAGCCGGCCAGGGCCTCCCTTCGTTCTGCACCACCCCCTGGTGGTCAGCACACAGCATAGCAAGCAATTGAACTCCCAGTTGGTCAAACTCCCAAAGGGACACTTTGCATATTAGGCTTTTATATATATAGATGCTACCCCAATAAATTCAATTAAAAAAAGAAAAGAACATTTGAAATATTTCTTGGTTCTTTTTCAATCATTTCTGAAATCTTCACATTCTTCTTTTAGTTATATAGGCCAAGTTCTAAACTAAATACCTTTGGTATGAGGCTGATTGGTTTTTAAGTGCATATACTAGCACTTAAAAACTAGTGTATAAAAAATAACAAAACAAAAAAATGGTTCAAAGAATGTGGCTACACTTAGCCATGAAAAAGATGATTACTAATTATATTATGTAGTACTCTATCTCAAAAGCAAAACACCACAAGAGACACTGCTAATTTAGTATACAAGTGGAGCAAATAATAAAGACAACAGATAAACCAAAAACAGTTTACACGTCTCCTTGAATTAAGTAACAGTTTGTTTTGTTTTTCAATCCTTGAGGATATTTTTTCCATTGATTTCTAGAAATAGTAGAAGGGAGGGAGACGGGTGAGAAAGAGAGAGAGAAAAACATTGATGTGAGAGAGACACATTGGTTGGTTGCCTCCCACATCTACCAGGGCTGGAGAACCTGCAACTGAAGTACTTGCCCTTAACCAGGAATCAAACCTGAGACCCTTCAGTCCGCAGGCCGAGATTCTGACCACTGTGCAAAACTGGCCAGGGCAAATTAAGTGTTAGTTTTAAACAAATGTTTTTAATGCTGTTTTCCTTAAATTAGTATTAAAATTAATTTACTCTTTTAGGTGTTTATTCATGAAGATGCTAGGCAATGGAGGGGCCATAAAATGTATACCCTAACTCATTATGTTAATTACCCACATATGTATAATAAAGAAGCTAGTGAAGAAATTGACTTGATTACACTGTCATTTTTTTACAGAAAGCATTCAAAAGATAATGGCATTGAGGAATATAACAAATGGCTGTTTTAAAATAAAAAACATAAGTTATTAGCACTCATATACAATTTTTTAAAATTTATACAACTATGATTTTGTTATATATATGGAAAGGAAGAGTAACATTTAAGGGTAACCTAAACTCAGGAATCTGAGGAGGGTTACCGTTATTTAGAATATAAGAACCATGTCTATAAGCACATATTAACCTTGGTAACAACATTCAGCTTCAACATAAAAATTTAAATCTAGGAATCTCTAGAGTCTCTTTAAAAAAAAATCACAATCTATATAAGCATCTTTCAAAAAAAACTTTAACATGAATATTTGTACAAAATTATACACACTGAAAATTTTATGAAAACAGAATTTGGTGAGAGACCAAGATGGCGGCATAGGTAAACACCGGAGATCGCTGCCGCAAACAACCACTTCAAAAATACAACTAAAAGACGGAACGGACATCACCCAGAACCACAGGAAGGCTGGCTGAGGAGAGACTCTTCAACTAGAAGGAAAGAGAACAGCATACCGAGGCTCAGAGGAGGCGCAGTGTGGAAAATACAAAGGTGCGGAGGTGCGCGCGCAAAGCGGGCTGGTGGCTGAGGGCGCGGTTGTCGTTTTCAATCAGGAGGGAGTCTCAGACTCTGAGCTCCAAATCCGGGCGAGTCTCTAGGGACTCAGACTCAAACGGGAGAGGCTGGATTGTCTGGCGTCAGTTGGAACTTGAGGGCAGCTTTCTCTCCGAGGTTTACAGCGGTTGCTGGGGTTCTGAGTAGCAGAGCCTCTGGGAACGGGACTGAGAGCAGCCATAACTGCTCCCTCCGCCCGCCCTGTTGATCCCCTGCGACCCGCCCCGATCAAGCCCTGCGCAGAGCCATTTGCCGGATAGCCTCAGGCAAAGGCTAGATTAGCACCTCTCCAGAGGACAGAAGTTTTCCCACTGCAGATACAGGTGATTCTCACAGACAGTCGGCCTGGTGGTCAAATCCCTCTAGTATTAACTACAACAATCAAGGCTTAACTAGAACAAGACTGCGCACAAAGACCACAAGGGGGTGCACCAAGAAAGCATAAAAAATGCGGAGACAAAAAAACATGACAGAAATGGAGGATATAGAGCTAAAAAACGCAATTTTGAGGGCTTGCAATAATGTGCTAGAAGCTGCCAATAAACTTGATGAGAGCCTCATGAAATCTAATGAGACCCTCGATGCTGTGATAAAGAACCAACTAGAAATTAAGCATACACTGACTGAAATAAAGAATATTACACAGACACCCAATAGCAGACCAGAGGAGCGCAAGAATCAAGTCAAAGATTTGAAATGCGAAGAAGCAAAAAACACCCAACCGGAAAAGCAAAATGAAAAAAGAATCCAAAAATACGAAGATAGTGTAAGGAGCCTCTGGGACAGCTTCAAGCGTACAAACATCAGAATTATAGGGGTGCCAGAAGATGAGAGACAGCAAGATATTGAAAACCTATTTGAAGAAATAATGGCAGAAAACTTCCCCCACCTGGTGAAAGAAATGGACTTACAGGTCCAAGAAGCGCAGAGAACCCCAAACAAAAGGAATCCAAAGAGGACCACACCAAGACACATCATAATTAAAATGCCAAGAGCAAAAGACAAAGAGAGAATCCTAAAAGCAGCAAGAGAAAGAGACTCAATTACCTACAAGGGAATACCCATACGACTGTCAGCTGATTTCTCAACAGAAACTTTGCAGACCAGAAGGGAATGGCAACAAATATTCAAAGTACTGAATACCAAGAACCTACAACCAAGATTACTTTATCCAGCAAAGCTATCATTCAGAATTGAAGGTCAGATAAAGAGCTTCACAGATAAGGAAAAGCTAAAGGAGTTCATCACCACTAAACCAGTATTATACGAAATGCTGAAAGGTATCCTGTAAGAAGAGGAAGAAGAAAAAGGTAAAGATACAAATTGTGAACAACAAACATGCATCTATCAACAAGTGAATCTAAGAATCAAGTGAATAAATAATCTGATGTACAGAATGAACTGGTGATTATAATGAATCAGGGACACAGAAAGGGAATGGACTGACTATTCTTGGGGGGGAAAGGGGAATGGGAGATTCGGGAAGAGACTGGACAAAAATTGTGCACCTATGGATGAGGATAGTGGGTGGGGAGTGAGGGCGGAGGGTGGGGCGGGAACTGGGAGGAGGGGAGTTATGGGGGGGAAAAAAAAGAGGAACAAATGTAATCTGAACAATAAAGATTTAATTAAAAAAAAAAGAAAACAGAATTTACTTGGTTGGTATAAGCCATTGCATTAGTTCATTTAACCCATAAAAGGTTCATTCTAGCAAATTTAGAAGAAAGTAATTTTTCAAGTTAGAGCTGTAATCTTTCAAAGTTAGAGCTGTTCCATTTCATGGTACAATATATATAAAACAGTGACATTTTCAAACAAAATAAAATTTACAAAGGTATTTTAAACCCAATTCAATTCTATAACCCATCACTATAGAGGAGGTAATGACATTTAAAATTAGTGAAAATCAAAAAAGTAAAAAATAAAATTAGTGAAAATCAAAAAGCAATGCAACTACATAAAAATAATTTTAAATATAGATTTTTACTTTCAATATACAAATATGAGTAGGGCGGGGAGAACAGGGAACACAGTATTCTGCATCTCTATCCAAGTTCATTCGTTTCCCTCTTCTTGACTCATTTCCACTGAATACATGAAACCCTAATGTAAATCTCAACTAAAAGGGACTTTTCTAGGTTAGAAAGATAAGAACAACAGTAATATATTGCTTCCCATTTATAAATTAGGAAAATATTTACTATCAATTTCTAGTAGTATTTATAACAAAATTTGAAACTATTTTGAGGACGGGGCTTTCTAAATTTATGGTATATGATAAATATGTAATAAATTTAAAATCATCACTTATGTAACACATAATTCGTTCTATTGATCCACATATAATTCTCTATTAAAGTTCTTAATATCCATTACTTTTAAGTTATGCCTAAGTTCAAAGCTCTTTTCACTTTGTTTAAAATATTTCCCCATACGCTTCCTACTCTAATAAAAACAAAAGGATTACACAATGAATCCTTTTATCGACACTTCCATTTTATTATTACTTACATGTGAATCTGTAATTATAAAAGCTTAATATGCTAATTAGACCAGACAAAGCCGGGGCTGCGAGGGAAGCCCAGGTCCTGGGTGCCAGAGGGAAGCGGAGCCAGCAGCCAGGGGAAGGAAGGCCTAATCTTGCACGAATTTTGTGCATCGGGCCTCTAGCTTAAAAATAAGAGAGCATATTTCCCATACGTTCAAAAGTACAAGTGATGTATTCAACCCTACCCTAAAAATATAAAATTTATAGTAGGGTCCTGAAGCTTAAATACCTGACAGAATGGGTGCAAAAATTACTCAGTTTAATGAGGGATGCAAAGAAGCAATGAAGTTATAATTTAAGCATACAAACAAAAGCCAAGCTGTAATGTGTACCTCTCTAACCATATATTTTGCATGCCTATATCTCCATCTCTAACACCAGCATCATCTCCTTACTTTTAACTGGTCTCCGACATCCACTCTTGTCTCCCCTCCATTCTATTTTCCATAGAGCAGCCAGAGTGATTTTTTTTAATACAAATGTGATAGTACAAAATAAAAGCTTTAAATATCTTTCAATAACTCCATTGATCTTAGGCCTGAGCACAAATTCCTTCTCTAAAATCTTACATACCTGGAACACTGCTTACTCCCTTATTATCACCTGTTCCACCCTCTTTCTTCCCTTCTGTTCTGCACACTCTCAGGCTTTCTTTCCATTTCTCAAACTTGAGTATGCCTTTTCTTATCTCAGTGCCTCTGGACAATCTATCCCCTCTGACAGGTTTGCTCATCCCTGCCCACTCTCCACAAATTCCCCTTCTTTCTCACACATTCAACGGACAATTCTCACTTATACTTAATTCATCTAAAACATCAATTCCATATGTCAGCCTTTGTTGACCCTCTCCCTTTGCTTTATTCCTTCAGATCAGGTCTGGATCTCTGGTGATATTCTTTTTATTTTTTTTAAATCTTTATTGTTCAGATTATTTCAGATGTTCCTCTTTTTCCCCCCATAGCTCCCCTCTACCCGGTTCCTTATAGCACCGAAATTTTCATTTTTTATAGCACTTACAACAAGTATGTCAAACTCGTGGCATGTGGCCCACAACAAATATTTTTGTGGCCCAGCCACTATAACAGTATATAAGAAAATTTCTTAACTTAATTTTTACAATATCCTGTTATACATAATTATTAATAACAAACTACAAAGTTCGCTAATGACTGATTACTATAATCGTGTTGCATTCATTTCCCTTACGTGCCTATGCGCAGGTTCACCATTTCCACTAATACTAGCAGCGAATATTTTAGCAGCTGACTGCCATGTCATTAGTCTTGTACTGACTTGTTTGGTGTGCACCACAGGAAGTATTTCGCTTTTGGAGAACAAAAAAAAATAGGTTTATTTGTGTTATGCTTATTAATTTGTGCAGTTATTCAGTGTCTGGTAAGTTAATGTTCAAGAAAAAAATATTAATTTTTATTAAAATGTTCTATTATTTTGTTAACGATTATTCATTGTATTCAGCATGTCTCTATCGAAATAAACCTACATTTCTATAAAAACTGAAGCTATTTGTGTGTGGCCCACATAGACTTAAACCTTGTTTATTTGGCCCGTGTTAGCCTTTGAGTTTGGCATGCTTGACTAAACTGCAGTTAAATAACTCAACTGCTTGAAATAAATTCAATTACTGAGGTAAAGATCTAGGAAAGTCAGGGACTTCTATTTTGTGTTCATTTTATTCACAATGGTATCCCTGATGGCTAAGTAATGTATTGAACAGCTGGAGACACTCAATACATATTGATTTAATGATCCCTCTTTCAAGGTCAAATCTGTCTTTTCAGGGTCAGGTGCTTAAAAAATAGCACAAGACACATACAACAGTTGCTTCTTTACTCCTTACAGTTCTGAAATAAAACATAAACTGAGCTTTTTTTTCCTCTCTAAATCCCTAAGCTACTTCATGCTAATGCCTAAAAAGGGCAATGAATGTCCCAAATATGTGGGCTGCGATTGAGCTGATATAAATTACTTCACTGGTTCTATCTATTCTAAGCAGTGTACAGCTTATCATCCCACAACCACACATAAAAAAACACACCTCCAAAATCAACAAATTTATGTAAAAAGCACTGGACATGTACAAACACATACATGTACACACACCCACACACATATCCTTAATTAAAGAAAGATTCATCATTTCATTAGTTGTGAAATTCAGCAAGTCACATAACTCCCCAAGGTTTGTTTTCTCTAAGGCCATTCAGGGTTTTAAGAATCTATGATTGTATTATCTAAATACACACACACACACACACACACACACACACACACACACACACAGAGTAAATGGAAAACCGGTAACTGGCATATACTTGTAAATCAAAATATTTGATCAGAAGAGGGAGTTATGAATACATTTCATTTAACTTCAATCATATAAATCTCTCAAAATTAGGCTAAGACCTTTTATTTGAATGTTTTGCTTAGTGATAATAATGTAGTCTTTGTCATGGAAAAATCATTCCCACACTGCAAAAATTATGCTTTTAAGTGGCATGACAACTAACATTTGTGAACAAATCTGAATCCTTCCAAAGAGTCCTTCAAAACTCTTCACCAGTATTTCATAGTTGTCTTTTGCACACCTAATTCAACTGCAATCTATCTAGCAACTAGCTATGAGTAAAATTCCAAAGCGAGTGACTTCGTTTTCATAGGGACTACCTTGCCATACTCCTATTCCTTCCATCTGGACAGGAGTAAATTATATGATTATAATACAGGTTCAGAAGCAAATACAACTTTCTTTTTTAACACACTTATCTTTCTCCTCTAAGTCACAAATGTTCAGCTTGCACCACAGACCAACTGCATCAAATTTTCCTTCTTTCTCCCACATTCACTTGACAATTCTCACTTATACTTAATCTAAACCATCAATCCCGCAGGTCAGCCTTTGTTGATCCTCTCCCTAAAATACATAAACCAGGCATCATACAACTGACTTTTGATAAGCTTAAAACTCAAAAGATGGGAACAGAAGTAGACAGAAATACTAGAAAGTGGTCTATTAGCCTAGCTTTATTGCTAGGGATATAAGTCAGTATATCCTACAAAGAGAATGAAGAATATTGGCTAACTAAATGTAAGTTAAAAGAATGATAGTAGTATAGAATTGGTACCATTCCAAAAATAGCTTAAAAGTTCATTGATGATAACCATACACAGAAATAAGAGGTTAATCAAGCAATCTATATATATAAAAGAGCCAGGGGCCGTCACATCCGAAACAACCGAACGGACGACTGAACAGGCTGAGTGGGGCAACAAGGCTAGAAGGGGGGTTAGTGAGAAACAACCAAACGACTGAACACCAGGCTGTGTGGGGCGACCAGGCCGGCAGGGGGGGCTAGTGAGGGACGACCAAATGATTGAACACCAGGCTACGTGGGGCGACCAGGCCGGCAGGGGGGCTAGTGAGGGACAACCAAATGATTGAACACCAGGCTATGTGGGGCGACCAGGCCGGCAGGGGGGTTAGTGAGGAACAGCCAAATGACAGAACACCAGGCTGCGTGGGGCGACCAGGCCGGCAGGGGGGGGCAGTGAGGGACAACCAAATGACTGAGCAGCAGGCTGCGTGGGGCGACCAGGCCAGCAGGGGAGGCAGGTGAAGGGACAACCAAATGACTGAGCAGCAGGCTGCGGTAGTGCGACCAAGCCAGCAGGGGAGGCAGTGAGGGGCAATCAGGCCGGCAGGGGGCGCAGTTGGCGACAACCAGGCCGGAAGGGGGAGCTGTAAGGGGTGACCAGGCCAGCAAAGGGGACAGTGAGGGGCGACCAGGCCAGCAGGGGGGGCAGTTGGGGGTGACCTGGCCATCAGGGGGGACTCTTGGGGGTGACCAGGCTGGTGGGGGGAGGGGGCAGTTAGGGACAATCAGGTCGGCAGGCAGAGGCGTTTTGGGGTGATCAGGCTGGCAGGGGGCCAGTTAGGGGCGATCAGGCAGGCAGGCGAGCAGGTAGGAGCCAGTGGTCCTGGATTGTGAGAGGGATGTCCGGAAACCGGCAGTCGGACATCCCCCTATGGGTCCTGGATTGGAGAGGGTGCAGGCTGGGCTAAGGGGACCCCGCCCCCCATGCACCGGGCCTCTAGTATTGTAATTTAAATAGGATTAAATAATAAACAGTATTTAATTGGAGAAAGAAACAGTATAGGAATGAGCAAAGGCGATGGAATGAACATGGTATATGGAAGAGTCATTGTGTAGACTTGCCTGACTAGAGAAGTGGGTGACCGTTTGGCAGTAAAGGCAATCTTCACATTCTTGGCAGAATACTTTCCTGGAAAAGGTCCTTTTGTCAAAATGATAAAAGTAAATACTGACTTTCCCATAGAAACAATCCTATTATAAACCATGTTCCTAATGCTACATATTTTTTCAGAGAAATGACTACTAAGACCTTATAAGTTAAAAACAGTTAAGAATATCACAGTACACTATTTACTGAACAGTGTATGTGTGTGTGTGTGTATATATAGATAGATTTAAAGATACATTAATCCTTAAAGGATATAATAACCAATCACATAAAATTAAAATAATATGTGTTAATTTCCCATATAAGGCTTTTTTATGTAGAAAAATAAGATATTTTTTAAAAATATCATTAGTGTAGTAAAATTCATAGTTTTTCTAGGTAGATTTCGACAAGTATTTTTGAGGAGATGTTGATAAAAGTTTAATTCCACTAAAGGATTTTTGAATCAATTGACCTACAGGCATGTTTCATGGAAAGCAGTGGCCTATCTATGAAAGAAGAAATTTCTTCCTCCTTGAGCCACTGAATCAGGCAGCAACTTCCCCCTCATAATTCACTATAAGAAAGTATATACATAAACCTAAAAAAATAAGTAAGAAAATAAAATACATAAACCTTTGTTTCCATCCTTCTAGAGTACTTGAGAAACTACTTTGTTACAATGTCAAAAGCGTCAACCTGAAATTGAATTTGAGTCAAATTTTAAAGGCACAGAATTATAAGCTTGCTGCTATATTAAAAGAATACCCCTTCTTCCAACCTCAATTCACTCATAAATTCTATGTTACATATCTCTAGAGTACCTTTGTTTCCCTTTTAAAACCCTAAGGATTTAGTTATAAAACAAACTGATTTTTTCACAACACTGTAAAGTATATGATAGTCTAACCACTATGCTGTACACCTGACACAAATACAAAATAATAGTGAATAAAAAAGAAATAGAGCTGAAGATCATTTTTATTTATATTTTTGTTTTCTTTTTTTAAAATATATTTTTATTGATTTCAGAGAGGAAGGGAGAGGGAGAGATAGAAACATCAATGATAAGAATCATTGATTGGCTGCCTCCTGGATGTCCCCTACTGGGAATTGAGCCCATAACCCTGGCATGTGCCCTTACCTGGAATTGAACCATGACCTCCTGGTCCATAGGTCAATGCTCAACCACTGAGCCATATTGGTTGGGCTATATTTTTTGTTTTCTAGATAAAACCACCAAAGCCATGTTCCCACAAAATAAGTATACAGGAGTAGAAGAAGTTTTGTTGTATCACTGACAATGAGTTTTTGAACTCCTTTCAACTTACGCATCCAAATCAGTTATATTTCATCAAAATTTAGTTTTAGTAATATATGAGCTGATAATCTGATTAGGTCCTCCTCTAATTTTGTTGAAATTAAGGAATGAAACCACCTGACTTCCAACTGGATTTGTTATGGAGTCATTAATTATACCCATTATTCTTTACTTTTAGGGACCTTGTTGAATATGATATACTCAGAAAGGACTGGAAAACAGAAATATTCATTTTAAGACACTTTTGCCAATTCAATACTTTTAATAAAATGCTTTTATTTCTCAAAGAAAACAAAAAGATTAGTATACTATGTCTTCTATGTTTGAGGTCAAGCATACTATCTGACCATGTAGAAATATAATGAAATGTTTAAATAAACTTTATCATCCTACTCTAAGATCTCCTAATAAAATAGACCAGAGGAGTGCTTAATCCCAAGGTCAATTAAATCTAATTATCAACCCTATACACTATAAAAAATAACTCCCCAGTTTCCTCAAAAAGTTAAAAATAGAACTCCCATTTGACCCAGTAATCCCACTTCTAGAACTATATCCCAAGAAACCAGAAACACCAATCAGAAAGGATATATGCACCCCCATGTTCATAGCAGCACAATTTACAATAGCTAAGATTTGGAAACAGCCTAAGTGCCCAATAGCAGATGAGTGGATTAGAAAACTGTGGTACATCTACACAGTGGAATACTATGCTGCTATAAAAAGAAGAAACTTTTACTATTTGCAACAGCATGGATGGAATTCGAGAGCATTATGCTAAGTCAGTGATGGCGAACCTATGACACGTGTGTCAGAGGTGACACGTGAACTCATTTTTTGGGTTGATTTTTCTTTGTTAAATGGCATTTAAATATATAAAATAAATATCAAAAATATAAATCTTTGTTTTACTATGGTTGCAAATATCAAAAATTTCTATATGTGACACGGCACCAGAGTTAAGTTAGGGTTTTTCAAAATGCTGACACGCCGAGCTCAAAAGGTTCGCCATCACTGTGCTAAGTGAAATAAGCCAGTCCGAGAAAGATAAATATCATATGATCTCACTCATATGTGGGATATAATGATCAACATAAACTGATGAACAAAAATAGATCCAGAGATTGACCCCCACCCCCAACTCCCACCACTGAACAGACTGTCTAACCCAGCCGTGGGCAAACTACGGCCCGCGGGGCGGTACCGGGGCGGTTTGAAATGAAATAAAACTAAAAAAAAAAAGAAGACCGTA